AATACAAACATTCAACAGATACAATAACTAGTAGGATAAATTAAAACAGATGGCTATAAAGATGGTAGAAAGCATGATGAAAGGATGGTTAAAAAGATGATAAAAGAGAAGCAGAGATATCAGCAACTGAATGCTCAAGGAAAGCCTGACGGAAGAGCCAAGTTTTCAATGTTTGTTTAACAATGGTGTTAGATTCTATGTAAACTAGCCTATAGACTCATATAATCCAGTTTTATGGCAATCTTGAGTTTAAATCAAGGGTATCTCACACACTCATATCCCTCAGAGTATGTCTGTGTTCTGGAAAACTCTCACCTGGCAGATACATAGACTGCATAGAGGACCTCCATCTGCCCAAAATGAAGCAGAGACCATTGCAGTATTCGGAACAGGGCAGGATAGGTGGCTAAACCCAATATAAAGATGTAGGAACACTGTAAGAGCAGAAGAGTTTTAAAGATTAATTAGCATTTTAAAAAATCTAAACAGAACTGGCCCTATTACCCTTCCATAAATATAATGACTTCCTTTCTAAACCAGTTGCAGGTTTCTGAGGCCATACACATGTTATATGCCTTCCAGATTTATTTTGATTGCAACCCCCATTAGCTCTAGCTAGCACCATCTGTCACTGCTCCCAGACTTGGAACTCCCTCCCATGAGAGGCCAGGCTGGCCCCCTCTTTGCTGTCCCTCAGCAAACAGATGAAGATCTTTCTCTTTAGGCAGGCTTTATTTTAAATGGCTGGTTGACTTAAGTGGATTTTTTTAAAGGAAGCACACTATTCTGTGTTTTCATTGTGTCTTTAATATCACTCTTATTATGATTTTAATATATTTAATGATTTTTAAATTTTGTAATAAACTTTGTTTCTTTTAATACTGTAAACTGCTTGGATCCTTTAAGAGAAAGGTAGCATATAAATATTGTAAATAAATAAATAAATAGTTTGGACAGGCCCTTTGGCTTGAGATCGCATAGCAGTTAGCTTATTAGCCAATTACTTGTAAGCAACCATTGGTCTTGATTTAGTTGATTAAAGATGATGAACACATTTAATTAAAAGCATTGTTTGCTTACAAAGGATTGACTGAATAAATGAATTGCATTTCTGGATCGTATCAGAGTATCCCATCTAGAATCCTTTAAATTCTGAACTAGCTATTTTTCTTCTGTGCTGCATAGGAAGTGTGTCCTATGGGAAAAATCTGAAGAAGGAAGTATGCTTACACTTAAGAGGATATGATTAAAAGTGATATGACAACATTCTGCAAATATTTGAAGGGGGCGTTATACCTTATTTGGAGCGAGAAATGCCTGATGTTCAAGGTGGATTCTGAAAGGGAAGAGGCACTAGAGATCATATTGCAAATATCCAATGGCTATTGGAGCACATGAAAGAATTTCAGAAGAAAATCAACCTATGCTCTATAGACTACAGCAAATCCTCTGGCTGTGTGGATCATGAGAAAGCAGGGGTTGTTCTGAAAGAAATGGGTGTGCCTCAGGACTTGATTGCCCTGATGTGCAACCTGTATTGTGGACAAGAAGCTACTGTTAGGATAGAATATGGAAAGACAAAATGTTTCCTATAGGCAAAGGAGTCAGACCAGATAAGGGTGCATTTTCAATTTGTAGGCAGAACATATCATATGGAAAGCAGCAATACATTCAAATGAAATAGGAGTGAAAATTGGTGGAGAAAATATCAATAATTTAAGACATGCAGCTGACACCATCTTATTAGCAGAAAGCAGCAATGATTTGAAATGACTTTTAGTGAAAGCAAGAGATGAAAGTACCAAAGGAGGACTGTAGCTGAACATTAAGAAGACAAAATGGTGGAGAAAATATCAATAATTTAAGACATGCAGCTGACACCATCTTATTAGCAGAAAGCAGCAATGATTTGAAATGACTTTTAGTGAAAGCAAGAGATGAAAGTACCAAAGCAGGACTGTAGCTGAACAGTAAGAAGACAAAAATTATGACTACAGAAAAACTTGTTGACAATGAAGTAATATTAAATATTCTGTGTACTGTATCTGGGTTCAGTTATCAATCCAAATGAAGACTGTAACCAACAAATCAGAAGAAGACAGACTACAAAGGGCAACAATGGAGGTAATAGAAGAGATTGTCAAGTATAAGGATAAATCACTGGAGACCAAGACAAGGAAATAGAAGAGATTGTCAAGTACTGTATAAGGATAAATCACTGGAGACCAAGACCATCCACACTTTTGTATTCCTGATTACCATGTACTGTATGGGTGTGAAAGCTAAAAAGTAAAGAAAGCTAACAGGGAAAAATGGATTTGTTTGAAATCATAAGAGTCATATGACACTGGAGGAGAGCTCTGTGGGTACCCTGGACTGCCAGAAAGATGAACAAGTGGATCGTAGAGCAAATCAAACCTGAAATATCTCTAGAGGAAAAAATGATACTGAGGCTGTCCTACTTTGGGCATATCATGAGAAGGCAGGATACTCTTGGAAAAGACAATAATGCTGGGAAAATTTGAAGGCAGCAAGAAAGAAAGGAAGGTCAAATAAAGGATGGATTGACTCTCTAAAGCAGTGTTTCCCAACCTGGGAGTCACAAAGTGTTTTCTGGGAGGTTGTGGGTTACCTTATATGTATTGTAGCCCTTGTTAAATAATTTCTTCCTTGACCTTTCAGAGTGGGCTATTAAAGTTAGTGTTCATGTGCTTGTATGAGAAACAAGCCCCTTGGGGAGAGAAAGAAGCCTCTACTTTCTAAGAAGGGATGACTTTACCCTATTAAAAATGGCTTTTTATGCAAACATTGTGGAGGGATTGCAGCTTACTTGGCTATTATAAAAAGGGGTTCCAACTCAGAAAAGGTAGGGAACCACTGCTCTAAAGGAAGCCACAAGCTTAAGTTTACAAGAGCTGAGCAGAGCTGTTGAGGACAGGGGATTGCTCATTCATAAAGTTCTCCTTGCATCCATTTAAGGAGAAAAGCAGGGGAAAAATATTTTAATAAGTTGGAGGCAACTTGACCATATGTAACAACAATAATAGATGATTAAGCAAAACGATTTTCTCTTGTTCTGAACCAGTGGGATCAAATTACAAACAAAATCCAATTTCAATTAAATGTTAGGAATAACTTCTTGATATAGGACAGTTAAACAGACTGCTTGGAAAGCGGTAATCTTTTTTACCACTTTCCAATTTTTTAAGCAGAAGCTGGATGGACACTTATCAGGGATGGAATAGCTGGATGAGTAACCTATCAAGAGACAGAAGAGGTAGGTTTGTGTCTATGAGGGATGCTATTGCAGTGAATATCATGGATCTGCAGGGCTGGTCTTTGAGGCACCTTTCAACTCTATGATTCCTTTCCACATATTGCCCTGCCTTACCTTTTGAACAAAATGAAAGTTTCCTATACAACTTCTCTCTTTTTCGCTGGTATTGAAATCACTTATAAATACAGTTGCATCTGCCAGAGCTCAGCCAGCTGACTCACGTGATTTTCTATAAGTCTTCTCAATACATCAACTGCGATATCTTCCAGTAGAAACATCATATGTTCTCGTCTATGGGGGTTATCTCATATTGGCAAGGATCATTCCTTAAGGGGCTAATGAAGACATAAGTGAAATCGTATAACTTCTAAACATTATATTTTAGCATTTAATCACAGCATGCAAGTAATTATTTCTGCAGAAGCAATTATTAAGGCAATAAAATTATGCACTGCCTAACAATAGTCATAGTAAAAGACTGGCTAAAGTGCTGGATTTAGATCAGGGAGTTCAAACTTCCACCCCCTTGATGAAAATCATGTATGCCAACCCAAGTTACCCTGTTGGGTTGTTGTGATGATAAATTGGCACAAAGTGTAGGGAAAAGATATACAGTAATGAAAATGTCCAAATGAGCATCAACTTGTATGGAAACAGAACACAAAACAGCCCAAACTGTGGACTTTTAATTAGCAATGATTTCAGTAGGCTAGTTACACACCTACTCAGAGGCGTGTAACTCCCACTGATTTCAATGCTATTTCCAAGTAAGTGTGGACAGAATTGCAGCTCAACAAACTTATGTTAATCCCTCTCATTGAAAGTAATGGAATTAAATATGGTTATTTTTGGCAAGGATCAAATGTGTGCTAATATAAATCCAAAGAAGTCAGCATTTAGCTAAATCTGGTCCTGTTTCCTGAATATATTCTATAATCCCAAAGGCATACACTATTTAGGTATTTTAGACTACAAATCAAGATGTGGTTGCAAAGGTGCCACCAGGACTTTCACCGTTATCAATGTACATAAGCACATTGCTGGGGAAAACATTGGAGTGACACATGGCCTGAACATCTGGTACTGATCTGAAAGTCATAACTGGACTTGATGCCTAGTGGATACAGATCGGAACATGGCTCTGGTCTCCATAGCTCTCCTGTGCAAGACCTATTTGTGATTTAAATTTAGATTTTCTGATCCCAAACTGGACAGTCACTCAGGACTACTTTGGGTTTGTGCCTGAGCCACAGAAAGGACTGCCTCAAGAGGATCCAGATTCTTTCCAGGTACCATCACTCATTCTTTTTTTCCCTCTACACAGAGACAAAGTGGAAACCCTTACTTGCCTTGATGGATGAGAAAACCAAGTAATGAAAACTGTAAAGAATTTGGGTGGGAAAAGATATTGCAGTTCATGCTGCAGTTCTTATACAGGATTAAAGGTATATCAATGCAACTCCACGTCACAGCCTGGCAATTCTGTTCTATGACTGCATAGCTCTACACAGCTGGCAGGAGTTGGGCTTGTGTTTCCTGGATCACAAGTCTCCTCATGCAAATTTGCAAATAGTTTGAGGCATAGCAAAAAGGGCCCCGGGGCCTGCTGCATCACAAAGAAGACTGGGAATGGTGGTGCTCGTAAAGTGTCTTCCTTGACAACACCTTTAAAAAATTAGTATTATGATCTACCAACAGGATGAAAGGTGCTTGAAAGGATATATGCAGCTATCAAATATGAAACGGTCATCTAAACCAGTGGTTCTTAACCTTTGTTAGGTGTTTTGGAGCTACAACTCCCAGAAACCTCAGCCAGCAGAGCTGATGGTGAAGGCTTCTAGGAGTTCAGTCCAAAAACATCTGAGTAACAAAGGTTAAGAACCAGTGATCTAAACTAACTGACATAATAACCCATAATAGATTTGCATATATGAAGATTCCTGTTTTAATTACTACCCTTGTGTGTGTCTTTCTTCCCCTCCAGATCCCATTTCAGTACATCTGCATGTCCTTCTCCCAGCCATGGGACTAATTAATGGACGAAGGCGAAGGTATTTCAAATATAGCAGAAAATATTTGCAGTTCCTTATATTATACCTGTCTTTCCCTCCCTTCCCGCCTGCTAAAGCCATCGGGCGGGTGCAGGGCTATTCTTAACTACCTTTCCGCCCCAACACACTTTTTGCCTCGAGTTTGTGGTTTCCATAGCAACCACAAACTACTCCAGGAACGCGCTGGGTGGCCGCGAGGGGCATTTTGCGCATGTGCAAAACTGCGCCTGAATTCTCAGCGGAGAGCTAGGAAAGAGAAGCGTGGCCGCAACGCAATTCTCGGAAGAGGAAACATTCTTCCGTAGGTTATTATTTCTTCACCCTAAGGCAGATGTTACTACAGATATCAGCTTTGTTAGCAAAAGACAAATGCCCGATGGGACCCAGGAGGCTCGCCCTTCAACTTGATTCTCTCCACTTGTGTTGGGTTGCAGTTCCCATCAGTCGCGTCCTGCATAGCTTGGCCGAAGGCTTTGCAAAATGATAGAAACGGAGGGCGCCAAGTTCGACATATACAGTACTTTACCTTGGAAAAAACTAGGCTTGGGAACATTGCTCTTTGGGACAGCAGTCGAAAAGGCAACGTCTCCAAACCGTGGCAAGAAAACAATGTATATTCTATGAAAATTTTGCTTCAAATTTAAAAACGCTTCGTGGTTTCTAACGCGTATCGCATGGCAAATAGTAGTGTTTTGCTTTCGTGTGCAAACTACTTTCCAAAGAATTTAAAAAGCGCCCCGATATGCATCAACGGAGATGAATCGGCGGTCACCTAGGTGGTGTACGGACACGGAAACCCATGGGAGGAGGGGTGACTCACCTTGAAAACCCTGTTGGGGTTGCTATGAATTGTTTGCAAATTGGTATTAATAGTCTTAGAACTGCAGAGCTGGAAGGGACCCTGTGGATCATTGAGGCCAACCCGCCAAGGAGGCACAGTGGGGAATCGAACTCCCAACCAGATGCCGAAACCACTGAGCGATCCTGCAGTTCTTCTAACATGCCCAACGCCAGGAACGGAGTGTAACTGCGCGGAAATGGCTTCCTATTACCGCCCTGCAATGCAGTCAGCTGCTAATATTGCAGGTGCATTGCAGTAACGTGAGTGACCTGGTTTGGGTTTCCCTCTATTCCCTACAACACAACACACAAGCTGCAACAGAGTTTCATAGGCTTGGGTCGCTCCCTTCCGCGATCCACTCCTAAACCAGAAGCTTCAATCCTACTCAAATAAGTGCAAAAGTCCTGATTTGCATAATACAGATACAGTACAGGTTAAATTTTCTGTCTTTAATTAACAAAACGAAAAAGCATCCCGAAACCCTTAATTTGACAGGTTTCTGGTTTTCAATCTTTATTCTGGATGACGTGAGGCGCATGCGCCGTGCCCTAAAACCACCGAGTTGAGAAAGAATGTAGGGCGCGCCAAGCCGCTTGCGCAAGTGGTACAAACGGCCACTTGAGGACACTTGAACTCCGGTCCAGTTTACGCTCCGCCCCCGGGCACGTACAACTCGGGCCGTGATTGGTCCTTACAGGGCGGGCTCGTTGCTAGGTGGATTTACTTCTCGAAACCTTTTTCTTTGTTTCCGGAAGGAGGGAAGAACCAAGGAATAGCCCCGAGGAATTAGGGGCGCTTTGACCTCAAAATGAAGGCCATTGGGGGCCCATATTCGTTTATTCTGGTGAAACAGGAGTAACTAAGAGGCTATTTACATTGGTTTGCCTCCCTCCGTCAGTGCGCGAATGAACATTCTCTTTGTGACGTCACTTCCGGCGCAAGCGCCGCGTTTCCGTCACAAAGTCGACAGGAAGACCTAGTCCGAGGAAGAGTTCCAATCTGACCGAGCGTTTAGTAACCTCCAGATGACGCAATAATCACTTCCGGTAGTACCACTTTTTCCTCCTGTCTTACGTAATTTCCGCACACAGATATAAAGGCTTGTTAGACTAGTCTGGTCGCAATGTGAACCCGTAGAGAGGCTTGTGCGTGCGTGGTTTCCAAGGCAACAGAGGCGCCTTATTTATTTCTCGCTCGGTTTTTAGGAGGTTAAGGCAGCGTACATGTTTCTTCCCTGTTCCCCTTTTTATTCCCCTCACCAGCAGTCTTGTGCGGTTAGGCGGAGAGAGAATGAGCGTCCAAAGGGAACTGAAAACTTTTCATATCTTAGTAGGTATTAGTCTTAGGCCGCCCCATAAAGGGAGGAAAGCGTGCGAACCGTACGAATATTAATTGGATATGTTAATATTCAGGAGGCTGGAAGACGGTCCGGGGTGTGTATGGGTCTGTGTGGAGAAGTTTTGTTATTTTCAGAAATCGGAGCGCAGAGTCTCCTCTCATCAACATTAATAAAGCTACACGTTGATTAACGAGCCGTATTCATGAAAGTGTGAACAGTAGAGAAAGAACTGTTAAGGAAAGGGAATTTCTGGGAGAAAGGTTGAGGTTTTCCTTCTTAGGATTGATGAACAGAGTGGGAAAGTTTAGGGTCTCAAAGAGGAGTTTGTGTGAAACAAATACATATAGAGCTTTGTTTCTTAAATTGAAAGTGAGCTATAAATGATAACTAGTTTTGAAAATATTCCATGTAATTTATTAATATGAATAAAAGAAGTGTGCACAGAAATGTCATTTGGTGTATTTGTATATAAGATGGTAGCATAAGAGCTTTGTAGTGTGGGTGGGTTTTTTTTAACCATTTCAATATGATTGATTTAAAAACAGTTTAGAGTTAATGCATATGATGACTTGATGAAGCTCAGCTGTGTTGCTGACTCCTAGCCACTCTTTTCATCTAGCAGATTGTAAATTTTTTGTAATCTGTTAATCATAGGAAAGGATGATGCCATGGTAGTCTGAAAGGATTTCTTTCTTCCTGCAGACTTGTTGACATCCATGGAGCCTCCAGGGGCCGAACTATAGTTCTTCACCAGCTGAGGAATGGCAGTAAGTAGAGTGCACACACCCTGACATCAGTATTTCCTTAGCCTGCTCTTCACACACATTGCTGAAACACTTCTCTGTCAGTTGGCCATAGGTGCTGGACTGTGTTTACTTTGTGAAAGTTTTCAGATGCTGTTGTTTTGTTAGGCAACCTTCAGTCTTGAGAGACTATGGTAACGTGCTCTGTATGGAGGACTTGGAACTGCGTCTAGTGTGGCTGAGGAGGCCAATTTGAGAGTGACAATCCCTTCCACACTGAAGACAAATCCAATCTGTTCCCTGTCCAGCTCCCTGATTTTGCTGCTTTTGTGACTTCCTCTGTGCCTTGGCCTGCTGGCCAAGGGTCTCTTCATAATATGGGAGAGGCTGTGATGTAATGCCTGCCTCCAGGCTAAACGCTCAGATGTCAGGGTTTCCCATCTGTAAAAACAGGTGTTTAGACTTTAACACTTTTGAGTCTGAAACATTGATTACTGTGACATTTTAATTTGTTTATTTGCTTGTTTATTTTTAGAATATATTAAATATTAGATTTTCATTGTCCCCATCTGAAATGTAGAGCAACACACTCTAGGCACATGGCAGCATATATTGTGGATTTGATATGACTCCTGTTAAGTTAAGGAAGTCATCCAACTTTTAAATATCAGAGGAGCAATGCAATTAGTAAATGTGCTTCCTATCAGTGATAAAAAAAACTCCATGTCAATTCTCCGATATTTAGGTACATTTTAGTATGAAGTCATTAAAAAAAACCCTCCATGTCAATTCTCTGATATTTAGGTACATTTTAGTATGAAGTCAAAAGCTGGGCATCAGTGCTCATACAAGTAGTTCCTTTTATATTCCCCTTCCTGTACCCCATCAGTTCTGTACTGTCAACTTCCCTTCTCCTTTGGCTTTTTCCCCCTTACAGACTCCGTCGTTGAACCCTCCACCAGACCTCCCTTTTGCTGCCACCTTGTTCCTGCCCCTTCCTGCCATCGTTTTTTTGGTTGTTGGTTCCTACCTGCTACTCCTGATCTTGGTCCTGGTCCTCCGACAGTGCCTTCTGGTAACAGGGGGATGGGATGGTGATAGTTGAAAGAACAAAGTACAGTACTGAGAGATTTAGAAAAGGAGCAATAAATGAGATTTTCCCACATGATATTACAAAGACATTGTTTCCTCAGGCATAGCAGTGCATTCTGTGATAATTGTCCATTAGGGAGCAAGCCAAAATGGAAGTTGATATGCAGTGCTAATCTTCAAGATTGGATTAGCCTTAACACCAATTGCTGGCATTACTTGACAAACCCCAATTTATGGGGTAGAAAATACAAAAGCAACTCTATTTTCCACTGTTCCCTTGGTTTTTTTTTTCATACTACGTTTCCCAACATACACTGGCGCTAGCCTGACAAATCTGGATTACAGTACTTCCATTATGTAAAGGGTGGTAGTCCATTGCAGTAAAATTCATAGAGATGCACTTTTTCCTTTACTCCTGCATGTATCAGTTGACCCATGTTTGGTGTTCTTTTCTTATTGCTTCCCAGGCCCGAGGCCTTTGTGCCAATTGCTGTTCCTGTGAAAAGATGTGTTGGCCAAACATGTGTGAATGCTGCATGGTTTGTGCAGAGTCATGTAACTGTGTCCTTCCTTCCCCAACCCGCTGTTTGGATCCCTGTTGTTCCTGTACTAATGTGAGTTTCTCCATCATTTGCTTTCCCCAAGGTGTAACTGACTGGGTAAATAAATATATAATTGACTAGTTTTCCATGACTCAGTAACTCATACCGAAGTCTCAACTGGAAAGAAGCTGCAGGCCTTATCAGATGTAAATGTAGGGAGTGGCCAAAAATTATAAATTTCTTTAATCAATAAAAATTCTGATCTTGGTGTGTGTTTTATAGAATGATTGAAAAAGCACAGCACCATTAATCGGTACTTGAGAGAGCAAGAGAGATTTTGAACAGGACAGCGCATCAGTGGTTCACAAGAAACTTAGTGGCCTGGAATCCAGTTTTATTGGACCATACTGCCAGTATACGCAGCACACTTTGCTTATAAGAAAGTCTGATTGTTCATGAACAAATTTCATTGCACAGAACAATACGTATGTTTCCTGCCCCTGACTCCTTATTTGAGAATAATGTGGTACTCCACAGCATAGAAGTGGGCCATGAAAGAGATCAGGAATTGCTAACTTCTATAGCTGTTTTCTAGGGATGAAATATTGAACTGAAAAAAAAACCTTTGATCAGTTAAAAAGTCCAGTGGGTCACATGACCACAGGATGTTCCTTTTTACCAAGTTAGTATAGTAATATACAGTGGTGCCTTGACTTACAACCATCTTGACTTGCAACCAATTTGAGTTACAACCAGCTCCAGTTGCAACATTTTAGTTTGAACTGCAACCGGTGCTTTGAGATATACGGGGGGGGGGAAGGCCTCTTTCCCCCATTGTTCCCTCCTTCCCTCATTTTCTGCCCTTTTTTTAACCTTAGAGGCCATCTTAGGTTAAAAAAAGTCTCTCCCTAATGCATTGTGCCTTGAGTTGCGAACTTAATTTGTTCTGGGATGATGGTTATAACTCAAGTTGGTTGTAACTCAAAGCACCACTTCCCATAGGAATACATTGAAATGTGATTAATCCATTCGGGCCATTTTTAAAGGTTTAAAAAAGGGCAGGAAAGGAGGGAGGGAACAGTGGGGGAAAGAGGAAAGAAAGAAGGTCATCACTGGGATATACAGACCCCCAGCTTTTGCTGCTATCCCAAGTAATTGTGGATTCTGACGTATAGTCCAGAATACATGAGAAAAGAGCTTTCTGCTTGTCACAAAAGCAGAAGCAGTTCTGCTCATTCAGAAGCTTTTAATTACCCTTTAAATCGGTGCCCTGCAAAAAAGCTGCACCACAGAAAGACTTCTGAGGTATTTGCAAGGATTTCAGTAAAATCCTAGGGGAAAGCAACATTGCTTTTTAAAAATTCTGTTTGGGTTGTTACCTTGATATGGACTGCTGTTATTCAAGACAAACAGCAACCAATTGTAACCAATTGCGACAGAATTTTTACTACATGTAGAATTGCCGATTGTTACCTATTTCTAATAGGAGTGCTTAGAAAATCAGGTACTAGTCTCCATTCTACAAGAAGTATGTTACCTTGTGCTGTCCGAATGGATGCCTCTACTAAGATGGTGTGTAGTGCAATGCATTTCTGTATTGTCAGCAAGGTGCAGTGCTCTTGAGGCTGTTTTTGTAGCACTGTTGCATTCCTCATCCCTCCATGATCCAGAAGTAGCACTTTTCCTTTTAATAAGCTGTAGCACCCCTTCCTCAGCATTGTTTAACACCAAAAATTAACTATTTTTATGAAGCGGAAATTGATTTCTGGCTACTTGATTGAATGAATGAATGCATGCATGCATTCTTTATATCGTCTCCAAGGAATCCTGAGGATAGAAAATTGGCCTGGGAGTAATGCAATGGCTCACCCTCTTCTATAAGCAAAGAATGCTTTTTTTTTCTTCAAACTTTCTGTTTTCATTATGGGCATATTTATATATCTTTAATCATTTTACTAATAGATAAATCCAACCTGATTTGACTGATAAATCAGCTGAAATCATAATCTTATATATCTCATGTCACAGTAAGAGCCTCATGGTGCAGTGATTAAACTGCAGTACTGCAGCCAAAACTCTGCTCATGACTCAGGTTGTATCCTAGGTAGTTCTCAAGGTTGACTCATCCTTCCAAAGTCAGTAAACTGAGTATCCCGTTCACTGGGGGGCAGGGGCAATGTGTAGTCTGCATAATTAAATTGTAAACCACCCAGAGAGTGTTTTAATTGCTATAGGGTGGTATAAAAGCAGCATGTTTTATATATCTTTCCCACTAGTAAGCTGCAGCTGAGCATAATAGCTTCCTGAATAACAGTGCATAGGATTGTACTGGACAGTATCTTGTGTTGGGTGGTAGCCTTGATGTTGATTTGTGCCTGGAATGCTTGATAATAATTGAATGAGAAAGCAGAGTCAGGTTCTGAGCTGCAGAAGAACTAGCCAACCATAGGCAGGAAAGAAATACAGTTATCCCTCTTCAAAAGCTAGCTGGCAATGATATTCTGCCTCTTTCTCTGGGCTGCAGAATGTACCTGCATGAGTAATAAAGATGGTAAATTGTGTAATAGATGAAGTCTGGCTTGAGAGATAGTAAATTAATTGAATTATTTCAAACAGCAACTCTTTAAACAGCCACATGTTTTAATCACAAAATCCCTAAGTTCTTAAAATCATGTGCCAACAAAAATTATGCATATGACTTCTAAGAAGAAAAGCAAAAAGTAATACTAGGCATCCTTCAGTCTCAAGAGATTATGGTAGAGTGCTGTGTACGGAGGTCTTGGAACAGCTTCTAGTGCGGCTGAGAAGGCCAATTCGAGAGTGACAATCTCTTCCACATTGAAGACAAATACAATCTGTCCCCTGTCCAGCTCCCTGGTTTTGCTTCTTTCTGGACTTCCTCTTTGCCTCAGCCCGCTGTACAACTGTCTCTTCAAATTGGGAGAGGCCATGATGCACTGCCTGCCTCCAGGCTGAACACTCAGACGTCAAGGTTTCCCATCTGTTGAGGTCCATTCCCAAGGCCTTCAGATCCCGCTTGCAGATGTCCTTGTATCACAGCTGTGGTCTCCCTCTGGTGCGGTTTCCCTGCACTAATTCTCCATACAGGAGATCTTTTGGAATCTGACCATCAGCCATTCTCACGACATGCCCAAGCCAACGTAGACGGCGCTGTTTCAGTAATGTATACATGCTAAAAATTCCACTTAGTTCTAGGACTACTCTATTTGGAATTTTGTCCTGCCAGTTGATACCAAAAATGCGTCGGAGACAACGCATACGGAAGGTGTTCAGCTTCCTCTCCTGCCGTGCACAAAGGGCCCAGGACTCGCAGCAGTAAACAAGCAAACAAAAATAAACAAAGCAAAGTGTGTTACTTATTTACCACCCTATAATGCTTAAAGCATTCTCTGGGTGGTTTACAATTTAATTATGCAGGCTACACATTGCACCATCATGAGCTGGGTACAAAGTTTACTCAACTTAGATGGATGGAAGGTTGAGTTAACCTCAAACTGGCTACCTGAGTCCAGGATTGAGCTCAGGTTAGAGCAGAGTCTTTACTGCAGCACTGAAGAGAGAAAAATGGTATTAATATGACAACACTTACATAAGTTATTCAAGAATGATATGTCCAAAGGAATTTGTCCAAGCCCCCAGCAACCATGAAAACAAATTGGGAAAAGTGTTCAGACTTACTGTCTCCTAATGCCTGTTTCCAAGCAATTGTTTTATCAATTATTTGTTTAAAATGTTTGTCTAATGGTCTTGCATTAATCCTTCTGTTCTCCAAGTTGAAAGTTCTCAGGGCATGTTGATGCAGCTAGTTCTGCAGATTAAGAGTGTGTGCCTTTTTTCTTGCTAACAGGGCTGGGAGCCAGAGACGTGTTCCTCTCCTCGCTTCTGTCCGCTCTGTGATTGTGCCTGCACCTACCAACCACCAGACTGTCAGAACATAAACTGCATTTGCTTTGAGATCAAATTGCGTTAAGGCACCCCAAATCTTAAAATAACAGAATTATGGCTCTACTTCAGGAGTATAAGATGACATGGGAATCTCTTCCTTACAAGTGGTGGACAAATAAAATAAGCAGTTGCTTATGTTGGCAAAATTAGTTATTCTGACTCAAGGAGACTTGAAACTTGGCTTTTCTTGTTCCTGTTGATATTTCAAAAGCTTTTATACTGTGTGTTTGATACTGCTTTTTTAAAAAATGCAGAATTTTATAATAAAGTTGTATACTTTCTGTATGTGTCTTTATTGGGAACTCAAAGAAAAAGGGCATTTGCTATAATGTAGAATTTGGTAGCCAAATTGGAAGTTAAATTCATATATTCTTTCACTGGGTAACAAAATAAAAACAGTAATGTAGAATTTGGTTGCCAAATTGGAAGTTAAAATCATATTCTTTCACTGGGTAACAAAATAAAAAATTAAGCCTTGGGGGATTGAAAAGATGATTAGGATATTAGCAAATCCTATTAATCAAAAACCAAAGCAAACATAATGAAACCACTTATTTTTTAATGAAGACATCCTTTTTTCCCTAGTTGCTTTGGAGCTTTTTACTGACACAAGTGATCACACTAGTTGCAGTTTGCAAAAATGATAGGAGTGATAAATAATAATAGATGGTGACTCAAATGATAACTGTACACTCTTGAAACTATCAGTTTTTAAAAGAGCACATCTGAAGTATATATAGCAGCCATGGTTGCAAACATGTTGGAGATACTGTACTTGTATGTACAGTTAAAGAGTAAATGGTAAAGAGAATCTAGTTATTCACCACTTTTTAAAAAGTATAATTAATTAATTATTTATTGTATTGTCTACCCTGTTTTTCCTCTTCCAGACAGCTCAGGGTAGCCTGCCTGTTTCTTCCCCTTGTCGTGTCAGAAAGTCCGATACCTGAACAGCTCCCTAAGAGCCCTATAGACCTCGAGAAAGATTCAGAAGCTTATGCACATCAAAGCTGACATATATCCCTAAAATGGTTATGAAACCAGATAACCATTTCCCATCATATCAAAATTAATCTGGATGTCAACATAAAATAACTAATTTCATTGTTGCAATGATTCTAGGCAATGTTTGCTTGTCTAATTCTCCAAGCTTTATTTATCTACAGTGCTTCTATGTTCCATAAGCATAAAATCAAATCCAACAAGTAACAATTCAAAACGTATTAAAAACCTTATAGCTATGAGGAAAACTGTAGGCACAAATACTTACAAGTATATAAGATCAGACTTCAGTTGCAGGCAAATTCTTAAGTCTAAAAAACATATTTCAGTCCAAAATGCAAGAACATAAAAGGCACAATAAAATATAAAAATTAATGTTTTGATTATATTCTATAATATAATTATAGCCTTGCTTTCAAACTTAACTGGAGAGCTAGCTGATTGCCCTGCGGTGACTAGTAAACTTCATTTGTAAAGCAGTGTACATATTCAGGATTGCATATTTTTCTAGTTGTCTTCATTACTTTAACGCTATTGATACAGAATTTCAAATCTTGAAACACTTTCCATATGAGGAAGGTTAGGCATGGGCCCAAGATGATCCCATGAGCTGCATAGAGACCTTGAACAAAGTTACCTTGGAATACAACTTCCAGAATCATGCAGCCAGCAGAACCAATGTGAGTTCTGCTGGCTGCAGAACTCACGGAGCTTCTTGTATGGAACAATAAAACATTATTTGGATTTGTGAGACATTTTTCTTCAAAACTTAGCGAGAGGTTTTCCTTTTTGGAATAAGAGTTTATGCTAGTGGTTCCCAGCCTTGGGTAACCCATATGTTCTTCGACTGCAACTTCCAGAAGCTTTTACCACTAGTAGTGCTGGCTAAAGTTTCTGGGACTTACAGTCCAAGAACATCTTGATTACTCAAGGCTGAGAACTTGCTGGCTTATGCCATAGCTTAATTTTTTTTGTGAAGTCCACATTTAATGGGAAGCACTAAAAATGAGCTTCATGCCATAACAATGAACACGAGATCTTTATGTTGATGAATAATAATAATAAGCTGCAGTATTCAGCTTCTATGTATCTGCAGGATGCAGTTTTCTTGTGTAGTTCAAGTGGAGAGATCAGGGAGAAAATCCTTTTTGTCAGAATTATTTGATTATGTTATAATCAGAATTCCTGCTTGAACAGGCAGAAGTAGGGACATGCGTGTATGTAAAGTTGGCACCTATGTGCTATGCCTGTGTCTGGTTCTGTTGAGGTTTTTGGTTTCAAGAGACAACATCAGTCTTTTTGGGATTTAAAATATATGCATGTTTTAAGTTGTATGCATTACTTGAAATACTACTCCCACTGACTAAAATATATAAGCAATGTTTTGCACTGATTTGTGGCATGCCTTATCTTTTTGTGCACCCAATTCAAATTATGTACTTCTAGCTATGTTTGTACACACCTGTCAAAGTGAGGATTTTTGGAGGGCAAATATGCGTTAGCCAGTGTGGTATAGTGGATAGAGTGATGGAGATCTGGGTTCAAGTCTCAGCTCAGCCATGGAGCCTCACTAGAACCTGAACTGGTAAAATCACTCCTTAAACATCTTTCTTGCCTTGAAAGCCATATTAGGATCGCTATAAATCTATTCTGACCTGATGGCAGAGGACAACAAAGGATGTCTTCTTCACAGGCACTCCATAAAGCGTGGACTAAAACAAGCAGCTGGTTCTTTCCCCATTGCTAACCAAAAGGCCACTTTTCAGAAACATGGGATGCAATATTAAGTGGACAGTCTTAAATGAACAGCAGTCAGATCATATGCTCACAAGCATAATTTAGACAAATCACTCTGACCCTTCAACACCCATGTTTATGTGGATAAGGAAAGGGAAAAGGATCTGTGGACAGTGGCAATGACACCTGACTCTGGGCAAGGAGGACAAGTTAAGGAAAGGGGAAAGGATCTGTGGACATTGCAGGGGTGGCAGTGACACCTGACTCTGGGCAAGGAGGACAAGAGACCCAACTGTGAGGAAAAAAAGCCATGCTGGGAATAGGGTCACTGTGCTGCTAGCTGGATTATAGGATTGTAGCTGTAATGTACTTTCTGGGCGGCTGATCTCATTGTCTAAACACTTGTGATCAGATCGTGCCTTCAGATGGCTTATCCCATAAGAACAGAAGCAGGTTAATCTGCTTTCACACTGGGACCTCCTACAATAGCTGACACCAGTTCACCACACGTAGTATCAAGGTAGGTAAAGACAGGTGATTGATGTCAACAGAGATGAAATTGGCATGAAGTTTCTTCCCTTTTATTTATCTATCCAAATATGCCTTAATGCTTTTCTTTTCCAGTTTGCTGCCCACTTTCCAGAAACATGTTACAGAAACAGTTTTAAATAGTGTCAGCAGCCTATGAGGTTTGGTCAGACATTTAACCCATCGCTTTGGCATGTCTTAATCAGCAAAACGACCACAAAAACCCTGCTGCATTTCAAAATATATTGCAAAATTAATTTGTAAAGTAATATACACTTTCTCCATTTCTCTCAGCATCTGAAAGTGCAAGGGCAGGATTCCTGTTGTGACCATCTGTAAAATGAGTTTTATTATAAATTGTTTTATGGTTTGCACTTGTTAGCATTCATATTATGGCCAATGGCCAACAAGGAATAAAAGGGGGTTTGGCTGTTACATTAAAATAACCACAACCCTGTGGAGGTGGCTTTAGTAGCTTTGTGGTTTTTGGACCTGTCTTTATCTCTGGCAGCAGATGGAGTTCTGGAGTTCTTCAAGGTAACCACAATTTTAAAAGGCTGCTTGCCAAAAGCAATATTACAACATCTTTTTCTTCTTCTTTCTGGCTGACAGCCATAATCTGTGTGGATGGGCGCGTCCAGATTTTGTTTTTTAAGCAGCAAGCCCCTTTACAAGGGCGAGAGTAAATATGTAGCTATGCAAATAAGACACGTGTGTATAGGTGCCTCCTGTGAAGGAATCTGAATAAGTATTACGTGGCTGTAAATGAGGGATTGAAACACGTGTCCGTCTGGATGCCGAGCAAGAACGTTGATCGCTATATTTAACAATAAATACATTATCGAATTATTCCTTGTTTCGAACATTGAGGCCAGTAAAACGTAGAGCAAAAAAAAAAAAAAGATGAGGAAGGGGCGTATATCGCACAGCCAAACAGTCATCACAAAAGAATAAACTGGCCATTGGCAACTACCCCACCCTGCCAGCTAAGAAGACGGGTCCATCTTGGAAGCTGGGGCGCGTTCCCACAGCCAAGATGGTTATTCTCCCGTCACTGTAGCTTCACGGGCGATTTTTGCCAAGCCTCAAGATGGCTCCCTCCACCCGCCCGTGATTTAAAAAGAGGAGGGGGTGCGTCATTTTCCCAGCAACCCTTCCTAGAGCTGCAATCAAGATTGCGGGCAATGATTTGAGCCGAGGGGGAGGGGAGAGGAGGCGAGGCTGCGAGCCAGGACTCGGGGTTCGACTGGGTTGGAGCGGGGAAGGGGAGCTCGGACGCCTGGGTCCTCTAGGGAGGGGACCGGGGTTTTTAATAGGTTGCGGTAAGGGAGCTAGAAACCGGGATTCCGTAGGAGGAGGAGGAGGAGAGCCGGGAGGGAAGGGAAGACATGTGCAGCCTAGGGAGAAGGGGCTTTATTGTGGTGCTGTCGCCGCGTGACATGTTGAAGAGCATTTGTAGGGTGCAGAGCTGATTTGGGAAATCTTTTTTGGGGAGGGGGGAGCAGGCTTTCGAGAGCGCGGCTTTGAAGAGCGAAGGGGCTGCAATGCAGTGCTGGGGGGATTCTCCCAAAGACTCCTGGGGAATAGGAAACGTGATGGGGGCGAGGGATGGCATCCTTGCAGGGCTGTGGTAACCCAGTTCTCCTGACGGGGTGGGAGGAAGGAAGGTTTGGGAGGCTGGCTGTGTTAATCTGGGGGTGGGGGCCCTCTCCATTTTGGGAGATTTGCTACTTCTGGGGTGTGTGTGTTTAGTATTACTCTGCAGCCCTGGGGCCAGTTGGAGAGGAAGGCTAGTACCTTTCCGGTGAACACCAGGCTTTGAGGGAATGTTCTGAATTAGTTTTGGGGAAGCTGTCTCGAATTGGGGTGCTGTAATTTTTCGTGACAAATATGTTGAGGGGATAGGGCTAACGCTAATGACTGAGTGGAGGTGTGGAAAATCCCCTATTTCCAGGTTATATTTGACATTGGAATGGAGATACTTTTGTATGAGAGGATTCTAATTCTGTAGAATATATCATTTTCATTTGGTAGTTATGCGCTATGCCTTCTTTGTCTGGGAAAGACTGAGCCTTAGAAAATGCTGGTGCCTCCAAACTTGATTTTAAAACAAAAACATGCTTCTATGTTTCTGAGGTGCTGATGATGCTAAACAAGCTTTAGTGATGCAGTCATATCAAACATATTAAACTGGGGGGGGGGCACGTTGAACTAAGTATTTTACCTTGCCGGACATACCCCTTTAAATTTTGTAGGGATGTTTTGACACCAGAGTACTTAAAGGGTTCCAGAAGTACTCCCTTGTAAAAATACCACTGTCTCAATTATATTGTGTATTGATAGTTGTTTGGTAGACTCTGGTTTTGTTTATGTATTTAATTTCTAGTAGGATAGCTTATTAGGTGAAAAGTGAGATGTAATTGTTGAAAGTGTGCCCCCTCCCACATTAGATTGGTGTTCCATGACTCTTCACCATTAATGCTAAGAATCTGATTATAGAAGTTTTGTTTGCATTCCTGAGAAACTCATTTCATTTTAAAAAAATAGACTGCTGTGTAATGTGTGTATGGTATTCTTAAGGAATGTCAAATTTGGATGAATTAAGGATGTAAGTCAATTTGTAGTGGAAGGACATAAGAAAAGCAAACTTATTCATTTGTTGATCAGGGTGTATTTGAAGGTCATTCACAAACTTGAGGAAGCAAAAGTTGCTCAATGAGATTACAGTCTAGCTATTTATTAGGATAACTTTCCTACAGCAAAGTTCTCAAACTGTAAGCAACTGTAATCTGTGGTCTTTGAAGTAATATTCAGTAAGGGGAGAGTGGGGTTACCCAACCTCCGATGCTACCCCAAGCCATGTCGGCTTTTGGGGATGCTCATGAGTGGTATATGGGGGCTCTGAGCCGGCAAGAAGCCGCTGCCTGCCTCCAGGGCCACCGACATGGAACCTTTCTGGTACGGGATAGCACCACATGCCCAGGTGACTACGTGCTCTCCGTCAGCGAGAACTCCAAGGTGTGTTTAATACCAGACCTTTTAATATCTTGATGACAAAAATAAAGAAAAAAGGATTTTGTTGGGGGAGTGGAAGAAATGGGGGTATATCTAATTGCACATAAAATATGGAGGAAAGGTCTACTCTACGTCATGCAGGAATGGTCACCTATGCCTTTGTCTCTTTCAGGTATCTCACTACATCATCAACAGCCTCCCTGGGCGCTTACGGATCGGGGAGCATGAATTTGATGGCTTCCCTGCTCTGCTAGACTTCTACCGCCTCCATTACCTGGACACCACCACCCTGGTGGCCCCTGTGGGCCGGGTGGTGGCCCCTGCGTCTGCCCAGCCCCCTCCTGCTGGTGAATGGGTCCGTGCCCTCTATGACTTTGTGGGCCGCGATCAAGAGGACCTCCCTTTCAGCAAAGGGGAACCCCTGAGGGTGTTGGCAAAACCTGAAGAGCAGTGGTGGACAGCGCAGCGGGCGGATGGGCGTGTGGGTATGATACCTGTACCCTACGTCCAGCCCTGTCCCTATGCTCATCCCAGCAGCCACGGTGCCCCCCGGCATGCTCCAGTAATAGCAAGAGCAGTACAGCGCAGAGTGCCTGGGGCGAGTGACAAGACCGCACTGGCCTTTGAGGCAAGTTGTAGAATAATTTTGTTATGGAATCATGCAGAAAGGGGATGCATGTCTAGTTACAGCAGTGCTTGGAAGAGTTAATTTCTTTTTGGACTAAAATTCCCAGAATCCCCTAGCCAATGTGACCAAAGGGGTTAGGTTGACTTGGGAATTCTGGGAGTTGTATTCTAAAAATGGTTTCCATGTGGTGTAGCGCAGAGGTCCCCAACTCCTGGTCCGCAGCCCGGTGCCGGTCTGTGGCCTGAACCAGACCGGGCTACCGAGACAGACCTCCCGCCCCCCCACACACAGCCCATTTGCGGCTGTGCGCATGCTCCAGCACGCTTGTGTGCGTGCCACACTGCAATTTGTGCATGTGTACGAGCGCTTGTGCACCCAGACAAGCGTTGTGCCGCTGTTTGTGCATACGCACAGGGCACGTGCACACTTGTGCGAAAGAGCATACATGCTTGTTCGCGCATGTGCGGGGGTGCACCACCTTCCCCAGCCAGTCTGCGGATCAAAGAGTGTTGGGGACCTGCTGGTGTAGTGGATAAAGTGATAGAGATCTGGGTTCAAATCCCCACTCAGCCATGGGAAATGATTGGTGGATAGCACTGGTAAATATCTCAAATACCTTGAGAACTCTTATTAAGTGAACATAAGTTGGATGTGATCTAACAGTTGTCCAAAAATAATTTTTAATCTCTGTACAATGTGGGGGAGATATATCAGATACTTATGAGTCTGTAAATTTCCATTGGGCAGTATCTTGTTTTTGTTGGTAGGAAGAAATTGGAATTCCAGATTGGCACGTCCCCAACCTGAACAAAAATGTTATGATCTGAATACATTTTTGAAATGAATCAAAATATTTTAGGTATAAAATATTTCAGGTGCATCATAATCTCTAGAGCAGTGATTCCTAACCTTGGGTTCTTAGATGTTTTTGGACTACAATTCTTAGAAATCCTGGCCAGCACAACTAGTGATAAAGGCTGCTGGGAGTTTTAGTCCAAGAACATCTGGGAACTCAAGGTTGGGAATCACTGCAAAGGGCAGCTTAGCACAAGGGTAGGAGATGTGAAGTCCTCCACATGTTGTTGGCTTGCAGCTTTCATCAGTCCTAGTCAACAGAACCAATAGTATAGGGAACTGTAGCCCAACAAAATTAAATGGACCATACCTTCCCTGTCCCTGTCTAAATAGATTTTGAGTAGTTGCGCGTGCCACACTGCAATTTGTGCATGTGCACGAGCACATGTGCGCCCAGACAAGTGTTGTGCCGCTGTTTGTGCATACCCACAGGGCATGTGCACACTTGTGCGAAAGAGCGCACATGCTTGTTCGCGCATGCGCGGGGGTGCACCGCCTTCCCCAGCCAGTCTGCGGACCAAAAAAGGTTGGGGACCACTGGACTACATGATTAAACTGCCCAGAGAGAGCTTTAAGCATTATGGGATGGTATGTAATGATTGGTGGATAGCACTGGTAAATATCTCAAATACCTTGAGAACTCTTATTAAGTGAACATAAGTTGGATGTGATCTAACAGTTGTCCAAAAATAATTTTTAATCTCTGTACAATGTGGGGGAGATATATCAGATACTTATGAGTCTGTAAATTTCCATTGGGCAGTATCTTGTTTTTGTTGGTAGGAAGAAATTGGAATTCCAGATTGGCATGTCCCCAACATGAACAAAAATGTTATGATCTGAATACATTTTTGAAATGAATCAAAATATTTTAGGTGTAAAATATTTCAGGTGCATCATAATCTCTAGAGCAGTGATTCCTAACCTTGGGTTCTTAGATGTTTTTGGACTACAATTCTTAGAAATCCTGGCCAGCACAACTAGTGATAAAGGCTGCTGGGAGTTTTAGTCCAAGAACATCTGGGAACTCAAGGTTGGGAATCACTGCAAAGGGCAGCTTAGCACAAGGGTAGGAGATGTGAAGTCCTCCACATGTTGTTGGCTTGCAGCTTTCATCAGTCCTAGTCAACAGAACCAATAGTATAGGGAACTGTAGCCCAACAAAATTAAATGGACCATACCTTCCCTGTCCCTGTGTAAATAGATTTTGAGTAGTTGTGAAATAGCCATAGGAGACAGAAGGGATGATAGCCTTTAGGTGGTACAGTCTGGGGTCTCTGTGGAGTCGAGAATTCCATTTGTACCCTCATTGGGCTCAACTCCCATTATCAAACTATTCTCTGTGTCCATGGAAACAAAGAACTTCCACCTAAAGGAAGAAGTAAAAGGTCAGAAGTGTTTAGATCCTTTTATTTCAAACCATCCAATTGCTTGATACAAATAGCAAACAAGAAATTGGGAACCTGGGTGCACAGGTTGCATGAGGAGAAAAATGATCCCATTATCTTTGTTTACTGACTTCTTGTATCTCTGGATACTCTGCAGGTGGGTGATCTCATTGCAGTCACCAAGATGAACGTCAATGGCCAATGGGAAGGTGAGCTGAATGGGCGCCGTGGCCATTTCCCCTTCACCCACGTCAAGGTCCTCGACCCTGAAGAAGCTAGCTGAGCATCTGGTGTAACCTTTGGACTTGGACTTTCCCCAAAGGGGTCATGACCCCTGAACTCTTCTGACCTGTGACCTTCTGGCTGTCTTGAGCACTGTATTTCCTGATATTGAACCTTACGTTTTGACCTACCTGGTGGGTGTTATTGATCATCCAGTTCACTGATATTTACTTCCTTGGAGATGGACCTTTTAAGCCAACTTGAACTTTTATTGGACACTGAACGCTGCTCCTTGACTTAACTGTTCTTATATGCTGTGGTAGTCGACTCTATCAACTTTGACCCTTTGTGGGATTTGTTCATATTGGCTTCCTGAAAACAATGTTCCTTATGGCCTTCTGGTCTTCAACTTTGAGTATGTGCCCTTGAATCTTGCTATTCTGCATCCTGTGATCTGTGAACCCAGAAGTTCTTGAGCTTTGATTGACCCGCCTTAGTCTTTGTGTATTTTTCATGGGGGTGGGAGCAGTGCTTGGCTTTGAATGGATGACAGGAATCATGCCACCCCATAATAGGAATCCCAATCCACTTGTTGTCTGTTCCAAACCTCCTTGTTAATTAAAGTTTCTTGCTGGTTATTCCTTTCTGCTATTTTCTCCTGGGGAGGGGACCAGAGAGGGTGCAGATGGGGAAAGTGGCAGTGTTGCTGTGGTAACCAGCATCACAACCTAGGCCTTGAAAGTTGCCATGGTGATCTGGCACATAGCCTTTTGATGTAGGCAGAAAGAGAGTGCAACAGATGACACACATGGCAGTTGAGGACAGCTTGGTTTCCACCTGTTGTCATCTCAGGTATGCTGCCATTTTGTATGAGGATCAGTATTAAGTCTTCATGCATGCCAACAGGTCCTGCTGAGTAGGCGCTGCCTCTTTTACTTGAGTTTATATACATCTTTAGGGACGTGGTGGCACTGCGGGTTAAACCGCAGAAGCCTCTGTGCTGCAAGGTCAGAAGACCAGCTGTCGTAAAATCGAATCCACGCGACGGAGTGAGCTCCCGTCGCTTGTCCCAGCTCCTGCCAACCTAGCAGTTCGAAAGCATGTAAATGTGAGTAGATAAATAGGTACCACCTCGGTGGGGAGGTAATGACGTTCCGTGTCTAGTTGTGCTGGCCACGTGACCACGGAAACTGTCTTTGGACAAACACTGGCTCTGTGGCTTGGAAACGGGGATGAGCACCACGCCCTAGAGTCGGACGTGACTGGGCTAAATCTCAAGGGGAACCTTTACCTATATAAATCTTTAGAGGACTCCCAGACCCAACTCACACCTCTTTTTGTTAAGATTCTCTATCTAGTTTGATGGCTTTGCTAAGAATACCATTCAGCATTTAGCATACAATAATCCTCAAAAGTCTGGATCTCTTCAGCACTCCAAATACATACATACCACTGTATACATAATCTTATCAGATATATATCAGTGTACTTTAGAGGTAAAGAACCTGTGGCCAGATACTGTTGATGCCTAGTTCCTCTTAGTCTTAGCCACCATGGCCAGTGAGAAAACATGGTAGAGATAGCAGTTCATCAAAATCTGGAAGGCTGAAGATTCCCCACCATTCTGTAGAAGGAAGAATCTATTTTTAAAAACATACAGTGTAAGTTACGTTGTTAGTTTTTCAGAAAATCCCCTGTGTTGGGGGTGCCTCTCAGCCTCCATGTTTGTAAATACTTGAATAGAAACTGCTTCCTGTACATATTCTAAACCCATGGAATTTTAGAATTGGAGACTATCTTGGAAGTCAGAAGGGGCCTATAAGGCCATCAATTCCAACCCGAGAGTCAAGTCCAGATCAATGAAGGAATCTAAGACAGAACAGATCAGACGGATGGTGTGGCGTTCACCCTAAGTTATGCCTTATTCATAATTTGTATGTTAATGTCTTTGTGAGGCGGGGCCAAGGAGGGTGCTGGGAGGCAGAGCCTGGGAGGTGGGGAGAGAAGGAGGATATAGAAATGGGAGGTGACTACATGATCATACGCTAGTGGTATCATTTTAAAAAAACTTGTTCATTTTGTTAATGTTATATAATGCCTGGAAATCCAGTGGTTCCACTGGTTGGTGGCAGCAGAACCGAGAAGCAGCGGAGTGCTAGTCAACAGTCCCTGAAAAGGCCAGGGGCTAGCACTGGGACCGCTACAGATGGTTGTCCAATTTTCTCTTGAATGCCTCCAATGCTGGATCGCTCACCACTTCCCCAGGTCACTGGTTCCATTGTCGTATTACTCTTCACAGTTTAGAAGTTTTTCCTGATTTTGTTGTTGTTGTTTAGTCATTTAATGGTGTCTGACTCTTCATGACCCCATGGACCAGAGCATGCCAGGCCCTCCTGCCTTCCACTGCCTCCCGGAGTTGGGTCAGATTCATGTTCATAGCTTCAATGACACTGTCCAATCATCTCATCCTCTGTCGTCCCCTTCTCCTCTTGCCTTCACCCTTTCCCAACATCAGGGTCTTTTCCAGGGTGTTTTCTCTTCTTGGCCAAAATATTGGAGCCTCAGCTTCAGGATCTCTCCTTCCAGTGAGCACTGGGTTGATTTCCTGGTATTCAGCCTTAATCCGTAACTTGAGCCCTTTGTTACGTGTCCTGTACTTTGGGATGACTGAGCGAGAACTGCCCCTCCACTGTATGACTACCTTTGAAGTATTTGAAACGTGCTATTGTATCTCACCTCAGTCTTTTCTTAAGACAAAACATTCTTAGTTCTTTCAGGCTTTTCTCACAGGTCTTGGTTTCCAGTCCGCTAATTATTCTTGTTGCTCTCCTCTGAACTTGTTCCAGTTTGTTGGCCTCCTTAAAGCGTGGTGTCTGGAATTGGACACAGTCCTCTAGATCAGTACTTCTCAAACTGGTGTCTCCAGATGTTCTTGGGTGGCAGTTCTCCACTTTCTGTGCTGGCCAGGATTTCTGCAAGATGCAGTCCAAGAATATCTGGGGACTCAAGGTTGAGACCACTGGTCATCTAGGCCTAACCAATGCTGAAAAGAGGAGGACTAGTACCTCATGGGATTTGGGGACTATAGTTCTAGGAATGCATCCTAAAAGAGCATTTGCCTGTTTTGCAGCCACATCACACTGTTGCCTCATATTCAACAATTCTACAACAATTCCTTCTCATAGTATTACTGAGACAAATATGCCTCATCTTGAAACTGTATATTTGGTCCCCTCCCCAAATACAGAACTTCACACTTATCCCCGTTACATTTCATTCTGTTGTTTTTATCCCAGTGCTCAAGCCTATCAATAACTTTTAGAATTTTGCTCCTGTTTTCCAAGGTATTAGCTATTACACCCAATTTTATGTCATCTGAAAATCTGATAAGCATTCCCTGCACTCCCTCATCCAGGTCATTAATAAAAATGTTGAAGAGCACAGGACCCAGGACTGAACCTTGGGGTACCCTACTTGTTACCTCCTCCCAGTTTGAGAAGAAAGGGCCATTGATAATCACTCTCTGAGTACAATTCTGTAAACAACTGTGTATCCACCTGACCATTCTATTCGGCCCACACCCAGTTAGTTTGTTAATCAGAATATCATGGGGCACTTTGTCAAAGTTCAACTTTCTGTTTGAGGCAGGTTCTATATAATGAGTAATATTGTTGCAGCATTCCTGACAGAAGGTGGTCCGCCCCCTCCTTAAATCCCACTAGTGAAAGGGGAGCACACTGCTCCCAAGGCAGTCTGTTCACAGTCAAGTAGCTCTTGCAGTTAGGAGATTTCTCTTACTATTTAGCCAAAAATCTGCTTTCTGGTATATTTCCACCCATCTGTTCCCACTCTCTCCCCTGGAGCAATAGAAAAGAAGGCTGCTTCATCTCCTGTGCGGCTGCCATTTAAATATCTGAGAGGTGCTACCATGTCTACCCCTAAATCTTCTTTTCTCCAGGCAAAACACACCCAGCTCTTTCAGCCTTTTCCACACAGGATGTGGTTATAGTTCCTAAATTGTGTAGTGCCCTAGCCTGCCTACTCTCTAGGACCTGTCTTCTTCAGGTTGATGCTTGCTCTCTGCCTCACTCAGAGGCTCTGCTTATGTAACAGAAAATAATAGTCCTCTCATCCGCCAGACATCGCAGGAAGTAGCCCAGTCCATCTCATGGTAGCAAAATATCTCCTAGAACGCCTCCCTCTTCCTTTCCAACTGGTGAAGCCATTTCTGCCTCCCTCCTCCTCCTCCTAATTTTAAGGATAATAGGGAATGTCCTTCTGCCTCCCTCCTCCTCCTCCTCTCCTAATTTTAAGGATAATAGGGAATGTCTCTGTTTGACCTCCAGTTCTAATCAATGTTAACTATGATTAATGGACTCAGTGAAAATTCAATATGTTCATGCATTTCTCAGTGGCAGTGTAATCTTCAAACCTCCCCTCCCACCTCTAAATAGCCTGAAAATAAATACTGTATTTAACAATTTTGTGAAACTTAACTAGAAAGTGTCTTTCCCTTTTGATCCACCATTCTCTTCTTCCATGGTCCCATGCTGCCCAAGGCCACTTAATTAAAAAGGCCTGAAGTGCACTTGCCCATGAAAACTCACATTAAAACAGAGCAGTTAGTTTTTATGGTGGTACAACACTTTTGTTTGGTTTTTTGCCTGAGTGACTTAAAAATGTCTCACATTTCTGAGTCTAATTGGGAAACACTGGGTTGCAGTACCAGCCATGGGACAGACAGTGGCGCTGGGAGACTTAAGCTCCTCCTGGGCAGCTGCCTATTTAAAAAAAAAGGAAAGGAAATCAAATGGAGATCTTTAAGCTGCAAGCCCAGTAGCTGGAGAAGTCCAGGGACCACAGCCAAGATGGAGGATGGGAATGGAAGTCCCCTCATTAAGACCTTTTTTTTAAAAAAAGGTTCAGAGTTGTGGGGGTTGGGGAGAAAGAAGAGATAACTTGCATATGGAGTGGCTCACCCCCAAAGTGTGGGTGTCATCAGCACTTCAACTGGAACAAATTCTGGGTCAAATAAATAAATAAACGATGGGTTGGCAGATGGAAGGAAAGTGCATGGGTGTGAGATGACTCTTTGAGATGGAGCCGTGTGAGGGGGAAGGGCTGCCCCACAGGTCCCACAGGCCCCTCAGCCTCTCACCCCGTGTGACACACGCGCTTGCTCGCTTGCAGTTCCTTGCTCTACAGGGAATGTCAAGAGCCTCGTCTTTCACATTCCAAGGACCCGAGTCCTATATTTAATCTGTCCTGCAAAAGGCCAAGGGTCGGGGAGAAGGTTAGCCCTGCTCCTCCCACCCGGTGGCTCCCCCTTTTTATAGCCTTGCCCCTGGCTTTGCCTCGGCCAGTCACCCAGCACTCTCCGGAGCCGCCGTGTCCTGCCAGAGCCCCCTGCTGCACCCACGGTATGTGGGACTCGTGTGGAGCCAGGAGGGGGTTTTTCTGCAAGGGGTGGGTGGGTGAGAGATGGAGAGACTGGCAAGGAGCGGGTCTGTTTTGCTCGGGAGGGGGGAAACAGGTGTTGCCATGCTGGTAGGAATGGGTGGAGAAGGAACTGGAGCCCACCTGGGATTGCCAGAAGATTTTTGAGGTCATCAAATGAGGTGCATGGAGATGGCAGTGGGGATGGGGTGACACACAAGATATGGGAAACTATAGATCGTTGACTATGATGTGTGAAGGCAGTCTTGGAAAAGCTTAAAAAGAGACGAAATTCAAAATCCAGTCGCAGGTCCCAACTGGAGCAGATCCACTGAATCAAGGGAGCCTGGTTAGTTAACCCTAATGCTTGTTCCAGGGTCTACTCTAATTGAGACTGGCAATTGGATTAACCTTCTAATTCCCCTCCCTGCTTGATGGCAAGTTTATATTCTTAGCAGCTGGGAAATGGTCTTTCCCTTTACATTCAAAAGTGCAACCTTTCTCCCTTCTGTTGGCTCCTCTTGAGGTGGGCCTTTTAAATATAAGACTGTCGGGACTGCCTTACCTTTTCTAGGGATTCCATTACTATCTATTCGATAAGGCTTAACTTGACCTGTGGTCTATCTGGGCTTTGTGTCTCTCCTTTCAGGAGCCAAGGTAGCTGTTGACTATCATCCCTCCCACACCCAACTATACTGTCAATCCCAACTCTTTCATCTTTCAACCAGTGCCATTACTTGCAAAAATCTTGCTCAGTTTGCAATTGTCTAGGGAAGTAGAAGTCCCATTCACGTAATCCCCTGGTATCTGGGATACAGCAATAGAAAGCACATCTCAGGCTCACTCCTTCCCTTGTCATAGCTGGTTTCTCACTCTTTGTTCTCCAGATCTAGGTGTGTGTTGCACCTGCTCCTAAACTTTTATTGCAACTCATAGTAATCAAATCTATAGTCTCACCTTGTGTGGGGGACTCCATTGCTACATAGCTCATTTTGCAGCTGTTTCGAAGTCCCATTTCTGTCTCGTCTAAGGCAATTCTCACTTGTGATTTTTCTTAAAATGCAACTTTTGCATTTCATGTATCTGTAACACAAATGTAACGTCTACATGCAGTGGAATATAGATTTCTATTGTTCAAAGATCCTACCTACCGCTATCCTGTATTTAAAGAAAAAACACCACAGATACATTAGAGATGTTACTTAGCTATAAACGTCCCTCTAATTTCTTTGTGAAAGCCTCTAGAGAAAGATTGCATTCATGTTGTGTGCTCTTTACCAGATTCCTGTTGCTGATATGCAACAAACTTCAATTGCTTAACGAGAAGGGTCTGTTTTGGTTTTGTGAAGTTCCCTCTGTTATAATAACCAGGCACTGTTCTGTGCAAGGACTGAGACCATGGCAACTTTACTAGACAGATAGTACCACAAGCTTTCCATGAACTAAAATCCATGTCACACACTTTGTATAATGGACTATAGGTCACAAAAGCTACTGCTATGAGGCTGTGGGGTGGTGATGGAGTGGTGGGGTGGTGATGGAGGCCTTATTTGCCTTCAGCATTTGCTTATCATGCAGAAACTTTGATGGTACTTCATTTAGCTTAGAGATGGAGAGGAAAAGATTCCATTTTCTCAATTTCTGCACGGTAGGGAACAAGTTAAAGACACAGGAGCCTTTGCAAGAAAAAGTGGTGGTCTGGAACCTTGTCTATTGCCCAAATGTTATTTATTCAGGAACCTAGTCATTTTTTAAAAAAGTATTATGGGACAGCAGTGCCCGTTATTCAGATTTGTTGAAATACCACCATGGAGATCTGGGGAAGTAGAGAAAGATTGCCCTGGTCAGAAAAAGGGGGGAAACAGGATAATTATAGGTATGTCTCCCTCTCCTCATATCTTTTAAGAAATGTTGCTCTCTGAGATGGCGATTGAGTATGTGGGAGGGGCCTGTTGAATGGCTGCCTGTCTTGCAGAGTGTAAACAGAAAGCAGCCTTAAAAGAATAGGGTAATGGCAGGGGTGAGGGAGGAGTAAGGGGCAAAAATAGGGGATGGGGTGGGGAAGCCACTGAAGGTGGAAGATGTAGAGGAAAAGGCGAGGTGGGATTTATTGCATGCAAGAGGAGAAGGCAAGTCTGATGGTGACCTTTCTCGCCTACAAGCAGCAGCTGATTATGTTTCGTTCTGGCAGAAGAGCCCCCCAGCCACATCCCACTGATAGCTGGATAGAGGCAGGAGAGAAACAAAAAAGGAGGGCTTCCCTGGTACCCCCTACCGCCTCTTGCTACGTGCTTTCCTGCACAATGCCCAGTGACTCAGCTACTACCGTAATGATTCCAAGAGAAGCCCATGTTGGATTTGGGCTCCGGGTGGGCTATCAAGAAGCTTCCAGAGAGGAGTCGAGGAGCTAAGGAAAAAAGAGAGGGGGAAGGTGTTGTTTTCCTACATTATATGGGCCCTGCAGGTGTCTGGCCTTTATCCTCCTGCCATAAATCAAACAGCAGCTGCCTTCTCACCGTGGAGGCATCGAGGTGTTACATAACCCAGTGTGGTCCCCTCCGCACCCCTGAACTTCCTACACTTTTCTGTTACTCCTGCTCCATTTGCTGCATCATCAAATACTCTCTTTTGACAGAACAGAGTTCTTTCAGTGGTAATATCCAACCCACACTATATACATTCACAATTGTTACAGTGGGCTAAACAAAAACTTGGAAACCTTCATTTATTTATTTGCAGCTACTAGAATCCTTCAGCTAGCATGATTCTATTGACTGGGGATTCTGGGAACTGTAGTTCAACAAGATAACTCTTCAAATCTTTTTACAGTACCTTGTTCTTGGCTCACAGTCCTTGCCTCTCTGTAACTATGAACAGCATGAAAATGCATCCTTTTAGAACTCAAGAAACAACATCACTATTGTAAGTGCATCACTATGACTAGAACAAGGATGTCTTGCTTCTAGAATTAGTTTTCTCCTGTTGTTGCAAAGGGTGTTTGATTCTACAGAAAATCAGTCAGTCTTGTAAACTGAGTATGTCTGAAGCTTGAGTGAGTCTGGCCTTTCATCCTAGTAAGCAAAAGGCACTCTGCCTAAACTGAAATGCCCTTGTAAAATATATTGCAACATAGGAGGGAAGGAAAAAAAAAACTGGAAAGAAACCACGACTCCAGTTAAACTCTGGATAGAAATCAGAAGAGATTAAAATGATACTTTTTAAAAAATTGGATAGCCGGGTGGGTTAGGTGACAAGGCTCTGAGGTTCAAGAGTAAAGGGTATATGCAGAAAAATGTTGGCACAGCTACAGAATATTTGTGTTTACTTTTTTTAAAAAAATGTAATAAACCTGCAGCCCCATGCCAATAAATCAATCGATTCTCCTTCCCTGCTTCCAGTCCTGCAATTTTCCATGGCAATTCAGAACTTTAAGCCGTTGTTTCTGATTATATAGACCTCTAACCTAATAGCAGAAGAATGTGAGATAAGCAGCCCTGGATTACACGAAATCCACCCTGATCTCCTCCCTTTATCTGTCTTTGTGGTGGCCAACTACAGGCCTTGAGGAAGTTCACAAGAAGCACATGAAAACAAAGCACCTGCCACATTCCCTAGCCACTGATTTACTGAAACAAACAGAGCCCATGATGGCCTTTTCCTCCATGCTTTTACTTAATCCCTTTCTTAAACTGTTAAAACCGGCAGTCCGCTCTATTCCTAATAGCAAATGCCACCATTCAGAAAGGCAGTGATTTCAAATACATATTCTTTCCCTTGGTGACTACCCTAGCAATTTTTATCAGCCTTCTTCTGGCCTCTACCTTCCCAATCTGAATGTTGTACAGTATTAATTTTCCTCTCCTCTTTTTCTTTCTCTTTTTCGTCCTGCTGCCTATTCCACCTCATTTATCTCGCACCACCACTTGTCTCTCAATCAGCTCCTCTCTTTTTGCAGCCAAAGCCGACGACATTCACGGGCTGGGGGCATCCAGAAATAGCAACGTGTCCTTCAGAAGAGAAGAGGGGAGCTGGTGGGGGGGTGGATCAGGTGTCCCCTGGAAAGGTCAACGCTGAAACTGGACTCGCAGAGGATGAAAAGAGGAAAGATCTGTGGAGCCTCTGATTTGGCTTAATTTCCCACAATACACACACTCTGGGGGAGATGCAACTCACACCTTAGTAAAAAAAAAAAAAAAAAAAGCGAGCGAGAGAGCGAGCGAGCTTTTTTGCTCGGTAGTTACAAGCTGGGGCATTAAAAAGTTCATTTCTTGAACTCTCCTTGGTATTTATTTAAGTAAATGGAGTTTCTAATTAAATTCACTATTAAAACCTGACCTTGTGATTTGATTTGTTTTACTACTAAGCAAGCAAACAGGATTTCTCTCTCTTTCTCTCTCCCTTTCTATCACACGATTCTCCACTCTAAGCAGGCCTCGTGAATCAAAATGTCTTGCTTTCTAGGCTTGACTCAAATGCAAAGGAGCCCCATTTGGTCTTCTCGTTGCGCCGCGTTTCCTTATACTTAAATAAATACCTCTGCCCGCTATTTGAGGGAGGACTCGGACCCTTTAAGTCCCCTCCCTCCACTTCAGTGAGTCAATTTCACACCCTTTTCCGCCGGAGTTACATCACGTTCGATTCTAGAACGCCGAGGTTCCGAGCATTCCATTCGCCTTCCTCCTCTCTTTCCCTCGCGCGCCTCTTAGACCTCGGTAGCTCGCTGCTGCTGCTGCTGCTGCTTTTCTCCACGCACGAATACTGTACTGCGAAGGAAAAAGAGTGGTGAGCCATCCATCTTGATTTAGAGATTAGAAAGGGAGGGGAAATGAAGCGTAGTGGGTTTTTTTGGGGGGGGATGCTTGAGGAACATTATAGGTTCTTTTCGTCATTTCCCCTTCGGTTTTTATAAAAATACAGAAATCTGATTTCCCGAGAAGTAAAACGCCAGGGCGAAGTATGGAGAAAGTCCTACTGGTGAGGGGTTGGGGCGCACCAGATTAAGTCACGTGTGGAAGCTTAAATGGTGCAACTGTTGCGCGAAGAGACAGACAACGAGACTCCCACACCGTAATAGGAAAGATGTATGCTGTAGTCCCCGGTTATAAAAAAAATCGGATTCCTACTCCTCCCTTTTAGTTTTATAGCTTCCGGCTATGGGTTATGATCACTCCTTCTATAGCAAGCCTGGGAAGGAGAAACTAGGAACATTGCGCTTCGGAAGGGTTGGTATCCGCAAAATTAGGATAACGGTAAAGGACTCTGTGGATTGGGATGAAAAATTGTTTCCGTCCTTGAAACGTCCTTGACTTGGCTCCATTTGCTGAAGACTGGTTTTCTTTCTAATATGCCTCCACCTTGCATTTAATGGGGAAACCCTCTTTGATTTCAGAGGGAATCCTCCGATTTTTGTGTTTAACAAGGAAGAGCAGGATGGCTGCCTTCCTCTTCATCCCTCTCTCACCTTCTCCCCCCCCCCCCCCCCCCNCCTGTATGGCCATCAAGGTCGTTGGTCGGGATTGCAGTCAGAAGCAAGGAGACAAGGAAACCACAGTGTGAGGATATTGTTAACCCTTCCTTTCCCCTTTCAGTTTAATCCATCAAGATGCCTCACCAATACCCAGCCTTGACTCCAGAGCAGAAGAAGGAGCTGTCCGATATTGCCCATCGTATTATAGCACCTGGCAAAGGAATCCTTGCTGCAGATGAATCCACTGGTAAGCCTGGGTGAAGCACTTCTGTGGTGGGGGAAAAAGGTTACATTGAGGAGAAGAACATCAGATGGGGAAGGAGCATCTTGATCAATATCCCTCTATTTTGTGTTCTTCTCTGCCTCCTAGGCAGCATTGCCAAGCGCCTCCAGTCCATCGGCGCTGAGAACACTGAAGAAAACCGCCGCTTCTACAGGCAGCTGCTCTTTACAGCAGACAACCGTGTCAACCCTTGCATTGGGGGTGTTATCCTCTTCCATGAGACTATGTACCAGAAGGCTGATGATGACCGCCAGTTCACCAAGGTCATTAAGGACAAAGGCGCTGTTGTAGGCATCAAGGTAAGTGATGCACACAATGTGTTTTGGTACTGGTAGTATCGGAGTCCCTTGTAAGTTTCGCCATCAGGGGAGTGAGCAGGTACTTGTGTTCCGGCAGTGCACATTCATCAGCAGCTGGAAGGCCTGTATAATAGGGTCCTGTGGCCCTCCAGTTGGACTGCAGTTCCCATCATCTCTCCCTGTTGGCTTTGCTGGGCAGGGCTGCTGGGATGTGAAGTCCCAACAATATCTGGCAAGTTTTCTGTTGTACAAGATAAAACAGGGCAGGAGGATGGAGGTTTTAACATGTTTGGGAAGATGAAAACTGAAGGTGCTTCCTTTCCTCGAATTTGTGTGAAGATGTTTCCTTTCCCCTAATTTCTCCACAACAGAGCTGTTAACTTGATTAAACAAAGCTCAGCCAGAAAATTGTGTGGAGTTTTGATTGATCAGATTTGTATATCAGTAAGTAATTGTGAAAGAAAATGCTACATGTGAATAATGCCCACATATGTCATGACCAGCACAATTCTAGAAGAGACATTTCTCTTGTGTGAGAATACCTCTTCAGAAATGAACCCTGCCACCTACAGTGTTTCAAATGGAAGAATATAAAAGTGATGGCTTGTTTTTCTTTCCCCTGTCTGGTAATTTGGGAAGACAGCTTTTGAATAAACTAATGGACTGGTTAAACATTGCAGTTGGAATTCAGAAGTTTTTGTTTGCTTAATGTGAAACTAATTTAGAAATGGAGATTATGAGACCCTTGGAGGTCAGAGCAAGCATTGCAGCATTCCAACACATATTCAAACGAATGCATTCTTTTTCCATTCAGATTCACCATGTCTTCCTATTTCCAAACACAGTCATTACTACGTCCCGGAATCCCAACACACACACTCTGAAAGGGCTGCAATCTTTAAAGTTATCTGATTGAACATTTGAGGATTGTCTGGACTACTGAATTACTATGGCATTAAAAAAAGCAGAAACCAGTATACATCTTAAAAAATGTTTCTATACTAAGGACTAGTAACTTTATTATAGACTAGATGTGTAGGCCAGGGGGTTAAATGCATTTGGGTATAATTGGTTTCACAGGTTTCTTTCTTATTCCCCGAACAGGTTGACAAAGGTGTTGTACCTCTTGCTGGGACTAATGGAGAGACCACCACCCAGGGTGAGTGTGCGGTTGTGTGAGGGAAACATACTCTGAGTTGAAGTAAAAGTATGAATAAAACGTGGAACTAGGGAGCAGTCGGAGATTTCAGGAAAGGCATAGGGGGTTATTCAAAGGTCTCTGTCCTTAGCTTTCTCTTACCTGTGCAGGTCTGGATGGCTTGTCCGAACGTTGTGCCCAGTACAAGAAGGATGGAGCCGACTTTGCCAAGTGGCGTTGTGTCCTGAAGATCTCTCCAACCACCCCTTCCCATCTGGCCATCATAGAGAATGCCAATGTTCTGGCTCGTTATGCCAGCATTTGCCAGCAGGTGAGTACCACACGGTTGTGGGAGAAAAGAGGCATGTCTTAGTGGCCCCTTCCCTGCTGCCCTGTGAGGAAGGAGCATCTGCAATGGCTGGAGGAGAGCTGAGATTGCTGAAGTTGGGAAGGATCCTGCAATTGTGGTGGGCAACCTCCAGCCAGGGAATTCAATGGGCCAATGTTCTGATTTTGTACAGTTCCTTAAATGTGTGTTGTAACTAGGCTGCAGAAAGTGTGTCTCAAGACGGAAGAGCCTCGTGGCGCAGTGGTTAAACCACTGTACTGCAGCTAAAAACTGTGCTCACGACCTGGGGTTCAATCCCAGCTAGCCGGCTCAAGGTTGACTCAGCCTTCTATCCTTCAGAGGTTGGTAAAATGAGTACCCAGCACGCTGGGGGGGGCAGTGTGTAGCCTGCATAATTAACTTGTAAACCGCCCAGAGAGTGCTTGAAGCACTATGGGGCGGTATATAAGCAGCACACTTTGCTTTGGAAGTGTTGAAAGTGCAGTTTCATGTTCTTCACCAAGTGTGGTTCTGGGAAGTGTCACCAAGGACATTGAGCATCTCTGCGTTGCCAGTGGATGGAGGCTTCTCTTCTGTAGGTGCAATACTGGGGTGTTGCTGCAAGAGGGCACCAAAGATATCATCACGTCAGACATGTGGTTGCAGAATTTCCCTCACTGGATGGAAACTCCAGCTACAAGGGAACTGAAAAAGAGTCGTGCTTAGAAGCTTTCTTCTATGTTCTTATGTGGATACCTTAACAGCTACTTAATAAATAATTCCCCTGGCCAGATATATTTTAAGACATGCAAGTAAATTGTTTTGTGTAGAAAAGTTGAATTTTTGTTTGTTTGCCCCTTGTTATTGTTTCCTCCCTTATGTGTCTGGGATTCTGACCATTCCCGGTTGTCCTTCTCAATTCCAGAATGGGATTGTTCCTATTGTGGAACCTGAAATCCTTCCCGACGGTGACCACGACCTCAAACGTTGCCAGTATGTGACAGAGAAGGTGAGATAGGATGTGGGTGGAGTCTGCTTTAAAAGGGAGGGACTTGTTAATGTTAATGGAATTTCTAGCAGGAGGATGGGTTTTCTGTCTTCAGTGTGAATCAAAAGATAGGATCCTGATACACCATTTCCCAGTGCTGACCGCTTCCTCCTCCTCCTGCCTGGATAGGTTCTGGCTGCTGTGTACAAGGCCTTGAGCGACCACCACATCTACCTTGAGGGGACTCTGCTGAAGCCCAACATGGTGACAGGAGGCCATGCCTGCACCAAGAAATACACTCCTGAGGAAGTTGCCATGGCAACAGTTACCGCTCTGCGCCGCACTGTGCCCCCAGCTGTGCCTGGTAAGGAAGGGCCCCCCATAAGTGCTCATTTCTTCTGCTGCCCATCAGAGAGTCAGTCTGGTGTGGTGGTTAGAGTAGGACTTGGTAGACCTGGGTTCAAATGTCCACTTCCCTTGAAGCTCATTGGTATTCACATAGAGTTTGCCTCTTCGTGTGGCTAATGGTGACCAACTGATGGAGTGCTGGGGAGTGTTTGGCTGTGTGCTTGCTTGCATGTCTGATGGCACAACTGAGAGGATTCCTGTCATTGGGTCAGTCACAGTCTTTCAGTCTTGTGAGTATTAATTGGGGAGGAGAACTTTACTTTTACTTTACTTTTATTGGACTTTTACACCGCCCCCCTAGACAAAGTCTACTCGGGGCGCCTTACATGAGTGATAAAACACAACAATATAACATACATGATAAAATCCTGCAAAATTTATTTCTATATACATTGCTAAGATGGAGTGATTAAAGAAACAGAAAATGAGTTAATTGACTGGAGGGAAGGCCTGCCTAAAGAGCCAGGTTTTTAAATGGCTTTTGAAAACGCCCAGCGAGGGAGCCAGATGGATTTCCATAGGGAGGCTATTCCATAGTCGAGGGGCCACTGCTGAGAAGGCCCGGTTTCTTGTTCTTTCCATCCAGGCCTCTCTCGGCGTTAGGCCCCTCAGCCATCCCTGCTGGCTTTGTCGAGTGATTTGGGCAGACCTGGGTGGGAGAAGACGGTCTGCCAAGTATCGAGGTCCCAAAATGTTTAGGGCTTTGTACGTCGTCATTAGCACTTTGAAATCAAGTGCAAAGCAGCCACGGTGGGGGATATGCTGATATTTTCTCACCCCACTAAGAAGCCTGGCTGCCGCATTTTGCATCATTTGAATTTCCACATCAATCTCAAAGGCAGCCCCACGTAGAGTGCATTACAATGGTCTAGTCTCGAGATTATGAGTACGTGGAAAAGAGTAGTGAGGGGCCCCCCCATCAAGATATGGTCGCAGCTGGGCAATCCGCCATAGATAAAAATAGGTGGAACGGGCCACAGACGTCACCTGGGTTTCCATGGTAAGCGTCAGGTCCAGATGTATCCCCAAGCTGTGAACCTCCCTCTTTGCGGTGAGGGTCGTCCCCCCAAAAGAAAGGGACTGCCCACCCTCAAG